AATGCGGGTCCCGATAAGTCCAAACCAATAATTCCAAAATTAGGGTTTTCTAAACCCTAATTAGGGTTTTCAACCCAGTCACAACCCAATTAGGCCCAATAGCTAAGTCTTTGGATCAGTTAGGGTTTCATTAGGCCCTTTTAGGGTTTCATTAGGCCCACTAGGGTTTCATAAGTCGGGCACCACCTACTACCACCTCAGGCAGTGGTGGTCAGCGGCGGCAACCACCACCTCATGGTGGTGGTTATGGTTCTAGTCTATTTTTGTCCAAGCATCCCAAACAAAATCTAAACACAAACAAAGCACACCGCCACCCAACACGACTGCTGATGGCGGCAGGAGGCGGGAGCCACCACCTCACGGTGGTGGTTAAGAGTTTTCTTTTGATTATACTAGCATCGATTACAATTTACAACAAAAATCCCAAAAACACACACACTAATATAAACACACACACACACACAACCACCCTTGTGGTGGCCGGTGGTGGCACATGGTGGCAGCCACCACCTCACGGTCGTGGTGGTGGCTGTTCTCTGTTTTCCGGCCAAAGTAATACATACAACATAATACATCAACACACACCTAAACACATGGTAAAAGACGCACACGGCCACCTTCCACGGTGGCTGGTGGCGACGGAAGGTGGCAGCAGACGGCGACCACCATGGCTGGCGGCCATGGTGGTTCTTTTCCTCAATCTCCGGCCAGCAATACTCGCACAAGACATCTTGGGTCCATCAACACACATATCCAAACAAAACACGAGACCACAGCTCCCCAACTATCGACTAGGCAGCTGGAACAAATTGAAACGACGACCAAAGGCCATATCCGGCGGCAGCAGCGGCACACATGACGTCGAACACCTCGAGAAGGACGGAAATGCGAGATGAGGTTGGTCTAACCGAGAGATTCTGGTCGTTCGCGGCCTGCTCTTCTTCGTTCACAGCTTACACTTTGGTCTCAATGGGATTTCTCCGGCCATTCACGACATTACAGGCGGCATCAGGTGGTGGAACGACGACCTTCGTCGACGAGGCAACAGGCGGAAATGGTGGCTGTCGGACTCAGTGATGCAAACGGCGGCTGAGGAGGGCTCCTATGGTGGTGGCGGCGACCGGAGGTGAAGAAGGAGGGTGGCGGTCGGTGGTGGGAGGCATAAGGGTGGAGGTGGCGGCTGTAACATGGTCCCTAGGGTTAGGGTTTGCATTGTTTAAATACCTGGTGCCCTATCAAACTTCATTCCATAATGGCAGGAATGGTCCCTCTCCATAAAAATCCTTTCTAACCAAGGCCCATAATTTACTCTTCATACCTCTGCTCCCACAATTCTTTTCATATCAAATCCAACAGTTACCAAACAGCCCCTCCTTTACAAATTATTCTTAAATGAAGTCCATATGTTACCATTCAGCCCCTTAGCTTCCAAAATGTCTTCAAATTAAGTCCCAATAATTTACCAAGTAGTCCCTGCATTCACAATTATTTACAAACCAATTCGGAACTTACACTTTTAGCCCCCAATTTCTAAATTATGACAGTTATTCCCTCGAAACCAACACATTGCTATATAATTATTGATTTTAGTGCTACTATTCATTCATTATCTTGTCTATTTATTTATTTAATAAATGGGGTGTTACATAGACCAACACAATCTGATCGCCCAACAAAAAGTTGATGTGAAACGTGAGCACTTGGAGAAATAAATTGAAAAAAAGCAATCAAAAATAAATAAATTGAAAAAAGAAAAAAAACCCAAAAATAATAACAATAAATAAATGATGACATGGAAAGTTAAAGATGTTATAACTAGTTGTCAATTTTCTCCATTTGATGACATGAAAAGTTAATTAAAATGCATGTTTGGTGTTATAACACCATTTTAACATGACATATGAGGTAATACTTATTGGATGTGATAACTGCCCACGTCTAAAGCCGGTTAAAGTGAAGGTACTATCTAGAGTTTCATAAGGCCATCTGGTATACATAACACGGAGGGATTCGTGGTTGAGGTGGACCACGACCACGACCGTGCATACCATCCCGACCGGTCGTGGTCGAACGTGGTCGTTATGTTTCGTGTTCCCGACGACGAAATGAAACGGTCAATGAAAATGTTTTCATTTCTTTTGACCGTTCAACGGTCATTTTTTAAGTTTTATTTATTTATTTATTCAAAAACTCAATACCTATATAAATCTAATAAAACCATCACATTTCATCACATTTTACTCTCATTCTATAAACCAAAAAACACATGGAGGATTTGAAATTGTTAAATTTTTTTGACTCGGATGATGACGGGGAATTCATCTCGACCTTCTTCAATTTTGTGCAACACATTCACAATGAAGAAAGTTCGAATGTTGCTCGTACAAGGGCGGAATCGTGATCGCTAAGTTGCACACGACTTATTGGTACGTGATTACTTCGCCGATAATTGTCTTTACAATGATGACGCATTCGAACGTCGTTTCCGTCTAAATAAGGCTATATTTTTACGTATTAGTAATGCTTTAGAAGCCCGTTATGATTTTTTCAAACAAAAACTCATCGCTATAGGAAAAATGGGTTTTAGTAGTATACAAAAGTGTGCGGCTGCGCTTAGGTATTTGGGATACAGTATAACATTTGATGCATCTGATGAATACTTCAAAGTATCCGAGAGGGCCGCAATTGATTGTGTAAATTGGTTTTGCGCATGTGTGTATGAGGTTTTTCATCAAGAATATTTGCGTAAACTAACTCCACGTGATATTGAGAGATTATATTCGCCTCATGAAGAGAGGCATGGATTTCTGGATATGCTTGACAGTCTAGATTGTACGCATGTGGCTTTGGAAAAATGTCCAAATGCATGGCGTGGTCAATTCACTCGAGGAGATATATGCGAACCAAGTATAATCCTAGAAGCTGTCGCATCTCAGGATTTATGAATATGACATTCTTTTTTTAGAGTCGCGGGGTCTAACAACGACATTAACGTTCTTGGTCAGTCTCTACTTTTTAACGATCTTTGGATCGGCAAAGCATCTGATATGACGTTCACGGTAAACGGGCATTCGTACATATACGGTTACTACCTATGTGATGGGATATACCCGGATTATTCTACACTTATGAAGGCATATTCGGCTCCTCGAAGTGAAAAGGCAAAGTTGTTCACAAAGAGACAAGAATCAGCGAGGAAGGATATCGAGAGGGCATTTGGAGTCCTCAAACAGACGTGGCATGTAGTGAAATACGCTACACGACTTTGGGATAATGATATAATTAAACAAATGGTCCTAGCATGTATTATAATGCATAATATGATCATTGAAGATCAAGGTCGAGCGATTTGCACGTATGATCCAGACGACGTCGTCATTCCGCTTGAAGAGTTCGTGCCCGGAACGAATGAATTTTTATCACGAGTTGTTAAAATTCATAATAGCGAAACGTGTTTCAATCTTCGAAAAGATGTCGTGGATTATTTGTACAAAGTAAATATGAACGAAGAATATATAAATCACTTTAGGGGGTGTTTGGATAGGAAAAAAAGAGGGTGCTTATTGTTTATTCCCACAACAATAAGCTAAGTTTAAGTGTTTGAATAAAATCCTTAAAAATCAGCTTATTGTGTTAGAAAATAAGCTGATTTTAATAAGCATCTTCCCCATTGGTTATTGCTTATTCCCATCACAAATAAACTAAAACTAAGAGAAAATTACAAAAATGGTCCCTGTGGTTTGCCAAAAGTAACAAAGTTAGTCCCTATTAATTTTTTTTGATGTAAATGGCCCCTGTGGTTTGCAAAACTTGCACAAATGGCCCTTTTTTGTCTTAAAATGATAAGAATTATAAAAACTAAGGGGATGAGGATTCGAACTTGAGACCTCCTTCCCCCTCCTTATTTAGCCAAAGCTCTAACCAACTAGGCTGGAGCCGAACTTGTTATATAATTCCGAAAATGAATTAATATTATATAAAAGCGTAAATAATTAATAATAAAAAAAATAATTAGAAAAAAAATTAATAAAACAAAATATATTTTCAGCGTATTGTAAAAAAATATTTTTTACAAAAAATTTACTTGTTTTTTTTACGTATTTGTTTTACATAAAATATTTTTTTTAATGTATTTAAAAAAATACGTTTTCGTATACTATGCTATTACATTGCTATGATCCTAAAAACATATTTTTACGTTTTCATATAAAAATACGTTTTTTTCCTTTCACATAGAAAAAAAAGTTTTTTTACGTATAAAATATGTTTTTTTATATATTTAAAAAATACATTTTTGTATAAAATGTTTTTACGTAAAAACATTAAGAACGTGATAACATAACGTAAAAATATGTTTTTAGATCAAATCAAAACAACTTATATTTTTTACGTAAAGCAAACTAAAGACGTTTTTTTTACGTATGGGTGATTGGTCCCTCACCCATATAACGTTTTTTTTTACTTAAAAACGTTAACGTGATAACAATTTATATGAAAACGCATTTTTACGTTTTCTTTATGTAAAACATATAAGTCGTTTTGATTTGATCTTAAAACATATTTTTACGTTATGTTATCACGTTCTTAATGTTTTTACGTAAAAACATTTTATACGAAATTGTATTTTTTAAATATACAAAAAACATATTTTATATGTAAAAATAACTTTTTTTTCTATGTGAAAGAAAAAAAACATATTTTTATATGAAAACGTAAAAATATGTTTTAGGATCATAACAATGTAATAACATAGTAAACGAAAACGTATTTTTTTAAATATATTAAAAGAATATTTTATGTAAAACAAATACGTAAAAAAACAAGTAAATTTTTTGTAAAACATATTTTTTTACAATACGCTAAAAATATATTTTGTTTTATTAATTTTTATTTAAATATATATTTTATTATTATTAATTATTTACGCTTTTATATAATATTAATTAATTTTCGGAAATATATAACAAGTTTGGCTCTAGTCTAGTTGGTTAGAGCTTTGACTGAATAAGAAGGGTGAAGGAGGTCCCAAGTTCAAATTCTCCTCCCCTCATTTTCTATTTGACAACAATTCTTCTCTAGTATGTATACAAGTTTATCCTTCATCTTTTCTGAAGTTTTGATAGAAGGATTCCTCTACTAATGTAAGACAATCAACTCCATTCGTTAGAATAGCTTCCATCGAGTCTCTGCACCTATCCTTTTTTATTTTCGCTTTCTAAACCTTTGTTTGTTTTCGGAAAACATGATTTGGCTCAGGATTGCCCATTTTTATTAATTCCAGGGTTTCTCTGAATTTGAAAGTTATCGCTTAGTAAGTTTCCATACCAAGGCTCAATCCAATTAAGTCCTTAGCGTCTATACAAGGACCATTTTTATAATTTTGTCTAAAACTAACAAGCAACAAGCTAATAAGCTGATAACACCCTTAGTGAATCACTTCCTCCCTCTCCCACCGCCATCTCATGAATTTACAGAGATGGAAACTGAAAGCAAATAGGAAGAGGATATTTTATTGTTTAGGATTGTCGTTCAATTTGGTTCGATTTTGGGCTTTTACACAAATCAGTGAAAGAGACAAATAAAATGGAGAAGAGAGATGTCAAAAGAAGTCAACAGCATGAACGACTTATGTAATTTAGTCTTATTTTAGTGGCGTATAGGGAAGAACTTCAACTAACACCAACTCGTGGACGATGGAACACGTCAAGAACCAGAACAACACTTTTCATAGCAATTTACTTTTGAAAAACCTGTAAGTTAAACACCCACTTAACGTATAATTCGGTTTTTTCAAATATATATGAATTTCCCGCGATTATGATTGACGATCGATGATCGATGCTCATGACGTCTGAGTTTCTTCTTCCGTTTTTTACAGTTATATTCATTATCGTCGTCGTCCCCAAATGACTAGGTCAAGAATGCACTCCAACCGTTTGTTCAAAGTTCTGAAAGAGCCAACGCGTTTGACTGGTAGATTGGAACAGAGTGATATTTCTTCTACCTCGGGTGCTTGTTATATCCATATAATATTCAGACGTTCTTTCTTCCCTTATTCTGATACCTTTTTTTATCATTTTCAAAAATTATTCAACTAGACTCAGCCATTGTTTAAGAATCATTCATATCTTCAAAGGCTATAAATTGTTTGATCATTTGAGTAATGAATCGATTCACTTTCAGAAAAATATATACAGGTAGTAATCCTAGTATCATTGGTGCTCGAAGAAAGATCTCAGAATCATCAATACATACAGCAAACTGCAACTCTATCTACAGAAAACTTATTTCAGGCTTAAGGGATAAAGCCATAAGTACATTCCAATCTAGATCTGCAACAAGCATGGAGGTAAACTTTGAAGATTTGTCAAAGGTTCAAAGAAATGAAGTTGACCACATTCATATGCTAAATGCGACTTATGATAATTATGATGGAGTCATTGTGGACATTAAGGAGAATATGGATGAAGATATCTTTACCACTCTACTTCAAACATCAATATCCCAATGGAGGCAACAGGTAATTAATTTAATTACTTTTCATTTTAATTTCTTTCCCTATGTTTCAATTAAAAGGAAGTCTTTAATTTATATAAACTTGCAGGGTAAAAAGGGAGTTTGGCTTAAACTGTCTCTTGAACTTGTGAGTCTTGTTAAGCCTGCAGTGAAGGTAAATATAACTATGATACATGATTGATTACCTTAGAAAAACAATAAAATTTTTAAAAAAATGACTTTTTTTTATTTTTTATTTTGTTTAGGAAGGATTTTGGTATCATCATGCTGAACCAACATACTTGATGCTTGTGTATTGGATTCCTAAAACAAATCATACTCTTCCATCTAACGCTTCTCATCGTGTTGGTGTTGCTGCTTTTGTGGTCAACTCAAAAGGGGAGGTTGACTTTCTACATTCATCACCTCCATATTTTTATATTAATTTTTTTTTTATCTGAACTTAATTAAGCTTGTGTATTTTGTGTTTTTAGATTCTTGTAGTGCAAGAGAAAAGTGGAGTGTTTAAAGGCACAGGGGTATGGAAATTACCAACTGGTAGTGTTGAGGAGGTGCGCATTTTATATATTTATTTTCATAATTAAAGACTTTTCTACGCTTTCATAATATAATTAATTAAATATTTTGTATTCACAGGGTGAAGATATATGTACAGCTGCAAGCAGGGAAGTGAAAGAAGAAGCTGGAGTATGTATTCTAGACTATGACTTTTTAAAAAATCAATTATAAAATAAGTCGATTTTTAATCTAATTTTTTTTTTAATATCTCCAGATTGATACAGAATTTGTGGAAGTTCTAGCATTCAGGTTAGAATTACACTAAAATTCCAAAACTTGAAATCTTTGAATGTAAACTGATCACATTTGCATGAATAATTAATTACAGGCAAAGCCACATGTCATTCTTTAGCAAATCGGATCTAATGTTTGTGTGTATGCTAAAACCAACATCTTTTGAGATCGAAAAGCAAGAGTCAGAGATTGAAGCAGCTAAGTGGATGCCTATTGAAGAATACGCCAATCAGCCCTTTGTAAAGAATCGCAAATCATTTGAGTATATTGCTAAGATATGCATAGAAAAGAAAGATAACAAATATGTCGGCTTCAATGCATTATCTACAGCAACTGCTACATCTCTCAAAAACAGCTATTTGTATTCTCATCATCAGGAGGAGTAGTTATCTGATTCACATATTCAAGAACCCAAAACTGGAAAAACAGAAAATGATCATGAAATTAAGACTCACATTGAATGTTAAATTGAATATATATGTATCTTGTGCATTACTCCAAGTATGCAAAATTTGTTGAAATTTTTTAGTAATGTTAATATTTTAATCATTCTTTTATAATAAAATTAATTTTATTATTAGTAAGTGTCAAATAGGAAACTAGTGTAATCGCATGATGTAATTATTTACTTTTAACCTTGTAGACGATTTTCTCATAATCGATGATCATTAGGATTGTGAATTTGGTTTTTATTAATAATGTCATTCATAATTGTTAGTGTATCCCTCGATACAATACCATCCAACAAAATTGTTATATATGTTGGATTATCACGATCTCTTCATAAAGATTTTCTTGGAGAGACAATCTTTGATTCCACATATATCTTACATGGTATCAGAGCTCACGTCCCGTACCCCGTGTTTCAGCACATCCTTGTCTATCATCATCAAGCCTCCAACTCTGAGAGTGTCAATATATCTCACATTGTTATGATACTGTCCAATAAATGTCTATATATGTTGGATATTTCCTTCTCTTCATAAGACTTTTTCGAAAAGACAATCTTGGACTCTACATATATCTTAATGTAACATTTATGTTGATGATATTTGATTTTATCAATCCCTTGATTATCAGGATATTAGTTGCACTCAGGATATTTAAGCTATGATCATATTAATAATTTGGTAAGCGATTATATTAAACAACATGGTATCATAACTTTAGCTAGGTTGAACTTGTGATGCGGACAAAAACCCTTTGTCGCGGACCACCACCTCCAACGACCTTCTCTAGTCATTGCCAAAATATTGGGATATTAGTTGTTGATGATGATATTTGATTATATCAATCCTTTGAATATTGGGATAGTAGTTGTATCAATCTCTTGATTATCATGATATTAGTTGTATTCAGGCTATTTAAGTCATAATCATATTAGTAAAATGGCAAGCAATTATATTAAATAACATAATCGTTTGTAAGATATATGTCAACCAAGGATTTGATGCAAAGATATGTTAATTCCGACAACAATGGGAATTTTGATGAAATGAGCATTTTTTTTCAAAAACTATTGACATTACTTGTAAAATGGGTTGTGGGGTTTCTTTCTTTAACGAGTAGAAATATACAGAGATACCTAGATGAAATTGACAACACTTAAAATAAAAATAATTAATAAAACTAAATAATAAAATAACAAAAAAAGTGTAACGTCCCAAAAATATGATCCAAAAATTTCATTTTTAAAATAAAACAGTATTCCAAAAACATTATCCATACAACCCAAATGAAAATAAGTGTATCAAACATCATATCTATCAGAGTAATATCTCAAAAGCAGAAACCATGTGGTATGTGCTCTGCAATCATCCCGAACTCTTCCATTTGAAAACCGAAGTACCTGAAACGTAAACTGAAAATTGTAAGTGAAACATCCTAAAAATACTAGCCAAAAATTTCATTTTCAAAATCATTTAGCAAACATAAATATCATCGCCATAGTATAAAATCATGGAACATGTATCTCATAATCTCATAAAAACTGTTATCATATCACAATCTCATAATAAATATCAGAGTAAACTCCCAGGCTAAGAAAAACTATGGTGTGTGTCATGCCATCATCCCGAGCTCTTTCCCTTGCTAGCTGAAGTACCTGAAACCAAAACTGAAACTGTAAGCACGAAGCTTAGTGAGCTCCCCCCCCCCAAACTACCACATACCATACAATAACACATATAACGAATACTGGGCCTTGCCCACTGCATCGGGCCCCGCCCGACATCAGACCGAAGTCCGGCATAAATTGGTCCCCGCCCACTGCATCGGGGCCTCGCCCGGCATCGGACCGAAGTCCGGAATAACTTGGGCCCCGCCCACTGCATCGGGCCCCCCGGAATCAGACCAAAGTCCGGAATAAACTGAACATAACATAGCATGAACATAAAGCATGATCACATAAACTGCATCGGGCTTGCCCGGTATCGGACCGAAGTCCGGAACATATAACACATATCACAGACATGCATGAATCACGAAGACATCAAGCATACATACTACTTCTCGGGACCACCCCGGCATCGGACCGATGTCCGGAACTACTATCATCTAAACGGGCCGACATTGTGGCCGTAGACCCGTTCCTACCGGAAGGAAACTCACCTCGTAAAGTTGACTGCTGGAGTGCTGGGCGGGAAATGTCTGACTGCTGCTCCGATAACTCTCCGACTACAATTCCCATAAAGACACTTAGTCAAACACTGATTACTAATCTTAGGGTAAAGTGACTATTTTACCCCTGGCCAAAGTCAACATCCTGGTCAAAGTCAACTTCCAGTTAACCTGACTCGCCGAGTTGGTCCACCAACTCGCCGAGTCCCTATCCTTTCTTCTATTCCTCAACCCGACTCTACTCGTCGAGTTTAGCAAAGACTCGACGAGTTCTCCTTCTATAATAACATCGAGTCATCCTTCATCTGACTCGCCGAGTTGTATGAACAACTCGTCGAGTTCTCCTTCATCATATGAACACGTTGTGACAACCCAAAAATTCTTGTCTTGTATAGTCCAACCATTCAACTCAACTGAGTTTCAGACTCATTTCTAATGAGTTCTAGCCTTGATAAAGGTCATTCTAAGGAGTTTTAAGCCTAGTACACTTAAGGAATGAGTGTTAGAATGTACCTGCTAGAGACACTGTGCAACATTCAAGCCTTAACACCACTAAAATGGAGTTCACGGCCAAAGAACATGAGTTTAACGGCCATAAAGTCATGGCTGGCCGTAAACTCCCCTATAGGTCACCATTCCTTCACTTTTCCTTCATTATTTCACTTACACCTCAAGAACACTCCCATTATCTCTCAAGTATCATCGAGTTCTTCATCTTAGATCTTCAAAACGTAAGTGTTTCTTCCATCTATTTGTTGATACATCTCCTTAACATGTATCATTCTTTGATTCCATCCATGGATTTCATCTTTTGAGTCTAGATCTTCAAGATCCTCAAGAACACCAAGAACACTTAGGTGTTTTGGGCCGAAAACACCCTCCTTTGCCTTCATATCGTAAGTATTACTCCCCTATACTTAATATCTAGTTAAGACTCATGCTTAGCACCTTGGAATCAAGCTTTCCCAAGAACATGAGGTGTTTACGGCCAAGACCATCTTCCTTGGCCGTAAACCCTAGTGTGAAGTGCAAATGGACCTTAATCTCTTCCTAAGGCTTGGACATAAATCTAGAACCCTTCCTCAATGCTTTAAGACCCAAATTAATACCATTTGGTGAGTTTACGGCCATAAGGTTTATGGTGTGGCCGTAAACAGCTCAACACCCTCCATTAAGTTGGTTGTTCTCATCCTTGTGTAGAGAAATGGTCCCTCAAGTTTCCCTAGCCTTCAAACACCCTCTTATGCATGTTTGACCATGAGTTTACGGCCGTAAACTCCATGGCCGTAAACTCCATGGCCGTAAACACATGGTCGTGAACACAAATCCTTGGCCTTAAACACCCTTTAGGTTAATCACATGTGATTCAACACTTCATTCCAAGTGTTTCCTAGTCCCGGAAGGTGTTTCCTTTCATATAGTTGCTTATAAACACTATATTCATGTCAATATATGTCATTTAGGACTTGTTGTGTCTCGGGACTTCATTCGTGGAACTTCTCATCCTTACGCGCATATTCGTTTGAATCACCCACATAAGGTGAGTTCATACCCCATAATCAATATTTTAAACTGTTTTTAATGCTTTTAAGGGGGGGGGGGAATACAAGTTGAACACAATGATAATTGTGTAATTGTTTGTTATAAACATTTTCAAAAGATTACTTATGTCATTTATAAGTTGTCAAAACATTTCAAAAACTCTTTTCAAGTTATGTTACTTTATAGTTTAACAAAACTCCGTTTTTAAAGTACCAGCATAACTTAGTAGCAAAATGAGTCTTTTCAATAACAGTACAAGTAAAACACTAGTAAACTATAAGGGGTATAGTTTAGGGGTTCAGTTCATACTATAACTAGAAGATACTAAGATTCTAGATACTAGAGAATACTAAGATACTATAACGAGAAGATACTAAGATACTATAACGAGAAGATACTAAGATACTATAACGAGAACATACTAAGATGCTATAACTGAACGAACATAATAAAGGTGTTGCAGCATGGGACAACTACAGGGTCTAATTATACCAATGAATCACTAACTCATTGTTCTAAACAAAAGGTGATAGTTATATTGGGTATACATGATCACATAACTTTAATGTGAATTACACGGCTTGCAATTGTTTGCTGAGGTTGCGTTTGGTTCCCAGAATCTCTTGACAGGGAGAGCGTTTAGTACAGGTACTATTCCTCACATTATGACCTTAATAAAACAAACATGTTTTAAAGGTAATTAGTACTACATAATGTCAATTCAAAAGACAACTGTGTACTTATAAATTCCCATTACTTTCAGTAAGTGACAGTTCCACTTGACAGCTAATACAAACTATTTTCAGGTCAAGATAGTTATAAACTAGGGAAAACTTACATTTTACAAACGACACACAGAACAGTCGGGTCTAGTACATTCAGTAGAAAGGGACCTATAATGCTAACTTTATGATTCCTTAGTGTATGCATTCAGGGATATATATTAATCGGGTCCAACAGGTAGTAAGATGTGTGCCTTCCGCTTCATTTCCTGTTCCTTGTTTGGTTGTGGGCTTAGAGCAGATACACCCAGCCTACTATCTATCCGAGCTTAGCTATATATATATATATATATATATATATATATATATATATATATATATATATATATATATATTCCGTATACACCAAGTAATCATAAGGGGTACCATGTATGGGTCAGGTCATAGGACACTAATTCAATGCACCGTTTTCTAGTACAAAACATACTTTTCAAATGAAGAATTTTTGGAATACAAAACTAGAAACTTAACCAGTAAAGGGTTTAATCCATTTTATTAAACCAGTAAAACTT